CAGTCTCATAAATTTGCTTGTAAAGTCCTTATTTTCACTTTGGTTAAATAAGTATTGTTTCACAGTGAACTATGATTCTATTTAACCAGTGTTTGAAATTTTTTTTTTTTTGTATTTTTGACAAACTTCCCCTAAATCAAATTCTAAATGAATTCTTTCTGACTTTGAATTAACTTTGGGATTTTCCAGAGGGTCCTTGAAACATCTCAAAAGAAGTGTTCTCTCTCTTTATAAAAAAGGAGACAAACTAATTAGGCTTATTTGATGTGTGAAGTCATATGGGAAGCACTCACTGTAAAAGAAGAAGTAATACCAAGCCTTCTTTATGTTGTATCTGAATGGGTATATGCTATAAGTGTTCCAGAAATTGTGTGAAATTCTTGGAAATCTGATATGTCCTGGTGTGATGTCATCAGTTATAATTCCTGTTATCATATTAAATTGTTACATATTGCAGAGATAACCAAATTTCCTTGTCAATTCCATTATAATGAGCTCTTATTAGATCTTTAATAAGGGCATTTAAGGAGCCTGGTCATTACAGAGAGCTATTGTTTTACTCTGGTGCTTTTAGAAATGTGTTCCTGCGAAAGTGCTTCCTCTTGGAGGAGATTCATAAAAAACTTTGACTAGTACAGTTCTCTGATGACTTTACGATCTTAAAATGAACTGGGTAAGAATTTCTGGAAAAACTGGATTCAAGCAGAACTAAGAATTAACACAGGACTGAATGAACTAAGGAGGAGAATGAAAATTTTTGAATTCTTGTTTGAAGCATAGATGGTTCTCTAATGTTTTGCTTTACCAGTCTTTTTTAAAAATATATTTTATTGATTTTTTACAGAGAGGAAGGAAGAGAGATAGAGTTAGAAATATCAATGTGAGAGAAATATCGATCAGCTGCCTCCTGCACACCCCCCACTGGGGATGTGCCCGCAACCAAGGTACATGCCCTTGACTGGAATTGAAACAGGGACCCTTCAGTCTGCAGGCCGACGCTCTATCCACTGAGCCAAACCGGTTTCGGCATTTGCTTTACCGGTCTTAAGGAAACCTTTTCTCTCTTAAAATTTTTTTTTTTTTTTTAAAAAAATTGATTTCAGAGAGGAAGGAAGAGGGAGAGAGAGAAACATCAATGAAAAAAAAGAATCATTGTTTGGCTGCCTCCTGCATGCCCCACACTGGGGATTGAGCCTGCAACCGGGCATGTGGCCTAAACAGGAATTGAACCGTGACCTCCTAGTTCATAGGTTGACACTCAACCACTAAGCCATGCTAGCCCGGAAGGAAAATTTTTTCTCTTTAGCTATCAATAATTTGGCAAGATATATCTATATAAACAAAGATGAAACATTTACTTTTTATCCCCTACCTTATTTCTTCAGAATTGTGAAACTCTTGAGTATTCTTTTCATGACAACATAGTTGAACATGAAGTCCAATGACATGAAGTCCAATGACAATTTGTTCTTGTAACAGGATACAGTGGGAAATATTGGTTATATTACTAAGGCTTTGACTAGACTATCACATTTGAGAAAGAAGTGCATAGACTTAAGATATGAACAGATGATTTTTGTTTTTTGGTTAATCCTCACCTGAGGATATTTTCCAATTTATTTTTAGAGAGAGTGGAAGGGAGGAGAGAGACAGAGAGAGAAACATTGACGTGAGAGAGAAATATGGATTGGTTGCCTCCTGCACAGCCCTGACCAGGATCGACCCTGCATCGAGGTATGTGCCCTTACCAGAATTGAACCTGAGACCCTTCAATCCACAGGCCTATTCTCTATCCACTGAGATAAACCAGCTAGGGCTTACCAGATGATTTAAAAAAATATATATATTTTATTGATTTTTTTATAGAGAAGAAGGGAGAGGAATAGAGAGTTAGAAACATCTATGAGAGAGAAACGTCGATCAGTTGCCTTCTGCACACACCCTACTGGGGATGTGCCCACAACCAAGGTACATGCCCTGGACCAGAAATTGAACCCCAGATCCTTCAGTCTGCAGGCAGATGCTCTATGCACTGAGCCACACCGGTCAGGGCTGACCAGATGATTTTAAGGCCAATAAATCCCCTTGGAAAAACTCGCCTTGGTACTTTGCTTACAAGTTTCCAGCAAAGCAACCACTATTCTTGCTGTACTTATGTAAATAAACAGGCCAAGTCTAATGCAAACAAATTAGTTTTGCTGTGATTATCTTTGGAAAAGAGAAATGGGATAACTGTAGGGAGAAACTTACATTCTGCTAGTTTTCTAAAAAAAATTGGCTACCTGTAATCAAACTAATGTTTCCAATTTTCTCCCACCTTCTTATTTGGAATCACTAAGAATAAATACTGCCCTTAAATTTTCTGGGAAAGGGACTACCCAGGTCCTCCTCACTATCCAGGTGGCAGGCCGACCTCAGGGACTCGAGCCTTGTAAACACATCTTGCAGCTAACAAAGGCTCCACCTGACATCTGGTCCTGCACAAATGCTGGAGACTCTACATCAAATTGATTAGGAAGACATTCATGTAGACTGTTTTCTCTGAAGATGATGGGTCAAGACTTCATACTTTAAGCATGAAACCCTCTCTTCTCTTTCATTCCGTTACTCTGGCATTGGCCTGGAAAGATAACGCCATAATCCATATCTCCCTGGACATTGCTAAGAGGGATAACCTCTGGAATGTGAAACAACTCTTTGTTTCCCGCTAGGAGATTTACTTCCAGAACGCCCCGAAAAACCTAAGTGACCCCTGGCTTGAACAGGCAAGTGTAACAATCCCTGCGAAATGAATCCAATAGGAAGTGGAAATAGTTTGTGCTCTAACAGGATTTTTCTCTGTCTGTGGCAGTCATCATTTTCCTTGGGCCTATGAATGCTTCGATGGCTGGCACACAACTGGGCAACACTTCTTAGGTTATCTAATTAAGCCCCTAACTGTTTACAAAACAAAGTGGGACACCTCATTGGTCAGCTCCACTGAACTTGGATTGTTGAGTTAGAAAAGACCTACCAGAAGGCGTTCATAACTCAGGGGTCACTTCCTTTGGGAGGGATCTCCATCCCTGGTTTTAGGAGTAAATGTAAATGAGGTTATGATTAGAAACCTCCTCTAAACTCTTGAGGATATTGCAGAATCCACTGCTAAGATGATAGCTACCCAAGAAAAACCCTAGACTTTCTGGCTAAAGATGTTCCTGATAATAGTCTCCTACCAGCTTTTAGCTGAGCAGGAAGGTGTCTATAAATTGTGGCCAACACCACCTATTGCACCTGGGTTAACACTTCTGAGGAAGTTGAAACTCAATTACATAAGACCATTGAGCAGCTACTTGGCTTAAAAAGGGTGATACCTTCAGTGGGGAATTCCTTTGACTTATTTGATTTTAATTGTTTTAGATCTTGGGGACCATGGCTACAAAGTGTACTCTAGATACTGGGAATTACCCTATTTATCATAGTCACAGTAGTCTCCCTGACATGTTGCAGTCTCTCAAAGGCTTTAAGTCCATGCAGCTACTAACCAAGCAGATGATCTTCTTAAGACTGGATTACCAGAAAAGGAAAGAGGAGAGGTGACTGACTTCAAAATTATGAACCTAAAGTTATGGCCTCTGAATACCACAGAAATTCATCCATGACCTTTGAATCACACAGAAGGTCAGTAAAAACTGTGAGAAATACAAAGTGGTAGCTGAGAGTGGTGAAAGCCTTAAAGTTTTATCACACCTCTCAGTTAAGATGAGAGTCTGGTCAAAAGGGGGAATTGCTAGAAAAGTGGTAGGTGAGAGTGGTGAATGCCCTAAAGTTTTATCACATCTCTCAGTTAAGCTGAGAGTCTGGTCAAAAGGGGGAATTGCTAGAAAAGAGGCAAGAGGCCCCAAATGGAGTCCTTTTTGCTAAATCCACATCATCAAACCAATACTTAATGCCTAACCTAATGGCAGTCTCAGCCTCTCCCAGGAATTTAATCTTAACAAGTCAATCTGGAATTTCCTGGTGAGCACTAGTGAGGGAATTCACCCTTCTGATCCCAAAAGTAGGTTACCTATGCCTGAAACAATCCACTCTTTTCCCCCTTTACCTATAAAAGCCTTCCATTTTGTACAGCTCCTCAGAGCTCCTTTCTATTTGCTATATTGAGTACTGTCCAGTTCATGAACCATTCCATAAACCAGTAACATATTTAAATTTTACTCAGTTGGATTTATCTTATTTAACAACAGACAAGCCTGGAGGAAGTGGGGCCGATCACAAAGAAAAGAGATGAGCCATTCAGCAGAGACCATTCTCATCAGCCTCCAGTCCTGCCAAGATTAGCCCCACCGAGACCAGAAGAATCACCCAGCTAAGCCCGGTTCGAATTGCTGACTCACAGAATTGTGAGATAAATATAGTTTTGATTTGAGCCAGGAAGTCTTAGAGTAGTTTGTTATGTAGCAAAAGCTGACTAATTAAAAAATGTTTTTTAAAACGATTCTTTTAGAGGGTTGGCAATGACAAGATTTTAAAAAGACAGTAAAGGGGAATAAATGATGATGTAAGGAGATGTGACTTTGGGTGGTGAACACACAATGTACTGATGATATATTATAGAATTATACATTTGAAACCGATATAATTTTATTAACCAATGTCACCCCAATAAAGTCACTAAAAATAAAAAAACACACTTTGTCATAAAAATACACACACACACAGGGTGGGGCAAAAGTAGGTTTACAGTTGTTTGTATGAAAATAATACAATAATTAATAAATAATACAAGAATAAACTATGGGTTTCATGTACACATAATTGCAAACTTACTTTTGTCCCACCCTGTATTTTTGGTCATACAAACATAAAAGTTAAGTCAAAGAGAATCAAGTCACTTACTATCTGACCACATGAAAATACATCAGCAGGATTTAGAAATATGAAAGATATTGCTGAACCTGCCCAGTACTTCTGCATCCCCCATGGAGATGGCTCTCTGTAGTGGAGACTATACCACTTACCAGAATCTTGGTGGTGTAGGCGCTGTTGATGGCAATGGCATTGACCAGCAGCTCCATGGTCTTGGCATTGATGGAGCTGGGGTCCGGGATCTCCTTATAGTGGACATCACCAAGGTAGGCCTGCACTACCGTCATGCGATTGGTGGTCAGCGTGCCCGTCTTGTCTGAGCAGATGGCTGTGGCATTGCCCATGGTCTCACAGGCATCCAGGTGGCGTACCAGGTTGTTGTCCTTCATCATTTTCTGGGGGAGGGGCATGTGAGAGAGTGACAGTGAGAAGAGAGAGGTGGGATGCTGGGGTGCCGGGGGCACTGGGTGAACACGAGGTAAAAGAGGAAGGACTGCCACAGACTGTCCCTTTGCTTTTACACATGCAAAGGATCATGGTTTCTAAGGCCTCTGACACCTGGGCTCCTTTGTGTGTGCCACCCTTTTCCTCCCTTTTATTAGCTGAGCCATTTAAAAGGATTGATTGCCCTGGCTAGTCTGGCTCAGTTGGAGTATCCTCTTATACACTGAAAGGTCATGGGTTTGATTCCCAGTCAGGGCACGTATCCAGGTTGTGGGTTCGATCCCCAGTCAAGGCAGCTGATTGATGTTTTACTTTCACCTTGATGTATGTTTCTTTCCCTCCCTCCCTTCTTCTCTCCCTTTTTCCCTCCCTCCCTTCCCTCTCTTCCTAGCTCTTTAAAATCAATAAAAGCATGTCCTTGGGTAAGGATTAAAAAAATAAAAAAGTTGATTAATTGATTCTATTAATTTCAATTACAGAAGTAATCTACATTCTTTATGAAAAAATAAGGATAAGGATAAATTAAGATTGGGCCTTTTCTGATTACTTCAAGTATTTTTCTCTGACACCCTAATATAACTATTTTTTATTCATTATGAATGTTCTCAAATGTACCATCTTTCAGTGGTTCCTGATTTTCACTGTCACTTTGGTTTTGCTAAAAGTAAATACATTTGGCTGAAACCGGTTTGGCTCCGTGGTAGAGTGTCGGTCTGTGGACTGAAAGGTCCCAGGTTCGATTCCGGTCAGGGGCATGTACGTTGGTTGTGGGCACATCCCCGGTGGGGGATGTGCAGTAGGCAGCTGGTTGATATTTCTCTCTCATCGACATTTCTAGCTCTCTATCTTTCTCCCTTCCTTTCTGTAAAAAATCAATAAAATATATTTTTAAAAAAAGTAAATACATTTGGGGGATATGTGTATTTACAGACATAGGACAATATCTAGAACAATATAAAATATTAGTATCATTATCTTTGGGTGGTAGAACTATAGGACATTTTTATTGTCTTTTTAAAAAATCTATAGATTTTATTTTTTCTACAAGAAATACACACTGCATGATAAAAATCACAAATTTTTAAAAATTATAGACTCATAAAAAAGAAAACATTTCAGCCTTAATGTTACCACACATAACTGATACACCCCACACATCAACATTCTTTTTTCTAAAAAAATTCAATTCATAACAAAAATAGAATCCTATTATACATATTATTATTATTTAAAAATATATATATTTTATTGATTTTTTACAGAGAGGAAGGCAGAAGGATAGAGTTAGAAACATCAATGAGCTGCCTCCTGCATACCCCCTACTGGGTATGTGCCCACCACCAAGATACATACCTTGACCGGAATTGAACATGGAAACCTTGAGTGAGCAGGCCAATGCTCTATCCACTGAGCCAAACCGGTTAGGGCTTATTATTAAGTTTCTAATGTATTCACCTCTCTTTCTCTCTTCCCAGGTTCTCACTCCGAGCTTCTTCCAGGTTCTTAAGCAAGTAATGCAAAGAAAGTAATTCTCTAGAACCATCCTGCTTCAAGCAGTCCCTCCATCATAGTGACCAAAAGGCAAGGAGGGACACGAAATGTTGCTGGAGTAAAAGTTGCTGAATCAGCTGTAGTTCTTGCCTGGAACTAGGAATTTGATTTATTTTATTCTTTCTCCTCATCATAACTCTTTATAACAGGAGGATTCAAAAGAGAGTGCAATCAGATACCTTTAATGCCAGTGTCTCAGAGCGAATACCTTACTTATCAACATGCTTAGGCCGCCACCCTTGCAGGGCCATCCTGGCATCGGGGCCCTCCGCCCACAGTGTGGAAACCACAGGTCAGGATGAATGTTGTTGGGATAATATAACTACTGCAGTTTCTCTTATTATAACTTGTGGTAACTGAAACAATAAAAGTATGTTGAATGGATGACCTACAGCAGTTTGACTTTGCAACATACTTTATAGTTTGCAAAGTTCTTCTGTACTTTTTTTCTTGCCTGATGATATAAGAATCCGTGAAACCTGGGAGGATTCTTGGCAATTGAAGACACGGCAAAGTGACGTGACCAGGTGCACACACCTAGTGAGGGTTAGAGCTGGGATTTGAGCCTAGCTCTGTTTAACCTGCCAGTCTGGATCATCCCATCTCCAGGACACTGGCCTTCGAGCAGGCTTGTGCCCATCTGTTCTCGCTGAGGGAGGTTTGTCTGCTGGGTTTAAAAATGCCGAGGCCTGTGCTATCCAATACAGTAGCCACATGTGGCTATTGAGCCCTGGAAAGGTGGCTGGTCTGAAATGTGCTGTAAGTCTAAAATACACATATAGTTTTGAACACTTATTGTGAAAAAAGTCTAAAATATATCTCAAGTAATAATTCATTATATTGATTACATGTTGGCTTGATAATAATTTGGCCATATGGAGTTAAGTGAATGATGTTATTAAAATTAATTTTGCCTGTTTCTTTAATTTTTTTTTTTTAACATGGCTACTGGGAAATTTAAAATCCCACCTGCTTACACTAGATCTCTCTTCGATGGCACTGATCTAAGTGATCATGTCTTTTCTTTGGATGGTGGCTTCGGGGGGCTAAGTCCAGGCTCAGAGAGGGGAGAATGTGCTTTTGCTGGGTTGGTTGGGGTGCTGTCCCAAGTCTATCAAGCGACTGTATAAGTAACATTATCTAATACGGCTAAAGGCACCAGGTGCCAGAGATACAAACTGCAGAAGGTGCGGAGGCCTAAAACTGTCTGTACATAATTCCCCAAAGCAACTCTGTAGGACTTCCAAGGAGGCCCCACCCCTTCCACCCGAGCTCAGCTGGGTTGTGTGAGGGTCCTGACTCATGGCTGTGTGAGCACCTGCATCTTCAGGACCCTGGCCCTGGAGCATCGGGTTGTGACCTGTTTGGGCTCTGGTTTGTGGGATGGAGTTTCTTTGAGAGCCCTAAAACAGGGAGGTGATAAGGGCCGTATCCTTTACACAGCGCTGCCACTTTCTGGCACCTGCCTAGAGATCTCTTTTCTGTATGAAATTACATCGGTGAGCCCAGCCCAAATTCCAGCTTGGAAACTGACGCTCTCTGTGCCCTCTGGCGGCTCTGCCAATGTCTCAGAGCGAATGCCTTACTTATCAACCCGCTCTGGCCTCCACCCCTGCGGGTCATCCTGGCATCGGGGCCCTGGGAAAGGGGAGTGCAGCCCTCCGCCCGCAGTGTGAAAACCACAGGCCAAGGAGAGAGGATGAGCACAGGGTGTGAGGACCTGGGGGTGAGCCAGGCTGGAGGTGCCCTGCAGTGGCCATGGGGATACTAGCCCGCTCCATTCCGGGCTCAGGCTGTAAAGATGGCCATGGGCCAGGGTGCTGGGATGGTGGGGCTGTGCCCTCTGGGCAGCATTTAGGAAGGCTCTCCAGCGGTCAACACGAAAGGGCCACCTGCCCTCATTGAATGGCTTTTAAAACCTTGTATTTTCAGCCCAAATCCTGAGAGGAGGGGGCTTTCCTAAAGTTAGACATCCTTTTTGTTTTAGTCTTATTTAGGAAATGAGCTCTGAGATTAGTAGTCATGTATGCACTAAGGCTATGGTGGGGCCTGTGCCTGGGACGGCTGGACTTCTGCCACCACCTGGTGGGGTGCAATGGATTTGGGCCTGCACGGTGATGTCTGCATTTTATTTTTTGTTTAAAATTGCATTGATTGTCAATGTTTAAAAATAAGGAGAGTTTATATTAAGTTCAGATTTCTGGCTTCTCTTGGGGGCGGGGGGGGGGGGGAAGTAAAGATCTGGCAACACTGGGCCCGTGTCCCCACAAGGTGACACTGGCTGGGCTGAATAACGGTTGTCCCTTTAGCTAGGGTGTGGCTCTCCAGTTTGCCACAGGCCCCTGAAGGCAGGTGAGTTTGGGTTCCCATTTACATCTTTTCTGTGAGCTTCCCATGTGTCCATTCCCTTCTTCTTAGCTCTTCTCTCAACCCCTGCAATGGCCCCTGGGCACCCCACACACCCCTAGCTGGCTGGTCCTGCTCTCCACAGCTCACCTTCACAGAGTAGGCCAGCGAGATGGTGACGGCTAGAGGGAGCCCCTCGGGCACGGCCACCACCAGCACCGTCACACCAATGATGAAGAACTTGACGAAGTACTGCACGTAGACGGGTGTGCACTCGGGCAGCCATGGCTTCTTGTTGACCACGAAGGTGTCCACGGTGAAGTAGAGCACCAGGATGATCACCGTGATGGCCGACATCACCAGGCCTGCAACACGGGGTGGGAGGGACCTGCTCAGGGGCGGTCCTGAGGGTCGGGGGGCCCTAGGGAGTCAGAGGTGGACCGAACCCTTGGCCAAAAGGGCTCTGGTGTCAGGCCAACCCTAGCTTACATCTCAGCTCTGCCACTTGTTTGTTTTGTGGCTTGGGGCAAGTCCTTGACCTTCACAGAGCCTCAGTTGCTTCTCTATACAATGGGGATGCCTATTTATTTCACATGGTTTTGTAAGGATCAAATGCGATCACTGCATGTAAAGTGCCTAGGACAGTGCCTGACACATAGTAGGTGCTCAAGAAATGTGTGCTGAGTGACCATGCGAATAAAGAAGAACTGCTTGGATGGTGCTCTCACACAATAATGATGTGCAGTCGGTGCCATTTATTGACACATTCATTCAGGCACTAGGGACATGGCAATAAAGCAGACAGAGTCCCTGCCTTTGGGAAGCTGACAGTCTAGAGGTGAAGGCAGATGGGTCACAAACACAAACAAGACAATTCAGAGACAGATAATGCTGTGAAGAAGACTCCAGATGACATGCTAGATCCTGACAGGGGCCGAAGATAAGAAAACAACCTAAATGCCCATTGATGAAGATCAAGGAAATGTGGTGCATACATACAATGGAATATTGAAAAGAAGGAAATCCTGCCGTTTGTGACAATATGGATGGACCTGGAGGATATGCTGCTGAGTCAAGTAAGGCAGACAGAAAAGGACTTGTATGAGGAATCTAAAACAGTCAAACTCCTCCGCAGCAGAGAATAGAAGGGTGGCTGCCAGGGGCAGAGGGGAGAGGGGAAGCAGGGGTTGTTTTTCAGTGGGTATAAAGTTTCAGTTAGGCAAGAGGAGTATGTTCTAGAGCTCTACTGTACGACACGGTGCCTGTAGTGACAGTGTGGTGTTGTACACTTCAAAACTGGTTAAGAGGATAGATCTGATAAGTTGTTTTACAAAAAAATCACTACCCCTCCCTCCCCCCCCCCAAAAACCCTCCCAAACTACAAAAGATCACAAGGAAATGTTTGGAGATGGTGGATATTTTTAGTATCTTGATTGTGGTGATGATCTCACAGGTGTTTGCATAAGTTCAAACTCATTAAGACGTACATATTAAATGTGTGTTATTTTTTATCTATAAATTATATCTCAATATAGCTAAAAAATGACATGGGCAGGTAGGGAGAGGCTACTTAAGCTAGGGTGGCCAGAGAAGACTTTCTGGAGGAGGTGATGACAGACAGGTGAATGATGAGAAGGAGCAGTCAGGTGAGGACCTGGGTGAAAGAGAGTTCCCGACAGAGGAAACAGTTGGGGGCCCTTTTTTGGATGAGAAAAGAGAGGGGATGTGACTTGCCCCGGGCCCCAGGCCAGGGAGGCACTGTAGAATTAGCAAATGCAGGTGGCTGTCTTCTGGATCCCCCTTGAACCCTTTTGGCAGTTTCTGTGCCTTAGCTGCTGTTCAGGTGCCTCTGCCGGAGAATTGCTCTTGGGTGATAGGAGTGTCCTTCTCAGGAAGTGCCTGGGAATGCACTCCACTCCAACTGGAAGATCAAGATCCAATGGCGATTTGGGGGGTCCAACACACCTGCCCCTTGCTACAAGGTGGAACAGACCCTGCATAGGTCCTCTGCTCCAGCGTTCCTCCTGGAGCAGGTGGAGACTGGGATTCCTGCCTCCCCCCCCCCCCCAGCCCCCGAAACCTCAGCTGTTTTCTGGTTTCTTCCTTGGCCCTATCTTGTCCTTTACTTTTTATAGGTCTCACCTGTGTCACCCCCTCCCCAAATCCCAAGCCCACCCATCTTCAGCTCTGCTTTCAGGGGATCCAACCCAAGAGAGAAGCAGAGGTGAGACGCAAATTCAGAAGTACTAGACTCTGAACTCCATCCTTGGCAGGGCCAAGGAGGGGAGGGAGATGAGCGAGGACTTTGAAAGCCACAATGTTGTTCTCCCTGCCCCGCAGTGCCATGTTTCCTGGGAGTCTTCTCCATGGTGGGGATGGAGGAAATCTCTGTGCCCACTGTTCCCCACCCCCTCCAGCTGCGAAGCCTCAGAGCCGGCTCTATCCCTCTCTGACAGTCGCCAGGGGCGGGAAGCCAAGCTCCCAGCAGCCGGGAGCTGTCACCAGGACCCCGAATTTAAATATAGACAGCCAAGCCTGTAATTTGCCTCCCTTCTCCACACTGCTGTGCCTATAATTAGAGCAGGGAGACAGCCACGGAGGAGCAAGCAGCCAGGTGGGGAGGCCTTGGTGTTTTCCACGTCCTTACCCAGAAGGGGAGTCCAAGGCCATGTCAGATGGGCAGGGCTCACCTTGCAGCTGGGCTCGCTTCCTTGTCACCAACCTTCACCTGCAGCTACCAACTCAGCTGGGAAGCCCAGCTTGTTGTGCTGGGGATCCTGGCACTGCTCCCAACCTCTTGAATCTTTCCTGTACCTTGCAGCTGGGGTGTTCATTATAGAGTCCAAAATGTATTCCTGCCATCCCCTGATTAAATCTCTCCCATGGCCACCACTGTCCTCAGGGTAATGCCTGCAAACTCCAGGCCTGGCAGGACCTTCCCTCTCTCTAGATACTACACCCGCCAAGTGCTAACACTCTGCATAATCTCCTTCAATCCTCATAGCAACCAGTGAAGCAGGGACCACTGGGCATCCCAGTCTCAAAGACCAGGAGGCAGGAGTTAAGAGCTAGGGAAGTTACTTGTCTAAGTTCTCACAACCTTAGCTGGACAAGAACATAGGCCGTGTGCCCCCACAACTCAGGCTTTCAGCTTCACTCTTCTCTCTAAGTGCTAACTGAGCACCTACTGTGTAAGGACTCAGCTGGAGAAGGGTGTGTCTCAGGGACCATCTCATGCAGTCCACCACTTTACAGATGAGGCAACTGAGGCCCAGCTTGGGGCAGGGCCCTGGCTTGAGTCCTACTGTGTGTCCCTTCTCACACCCTGCGCACTCACCCGCCTTGCCGATCTGCACAGCCAGCTTGGTGAGCTTGCCCTGGAGCACCGACTTCTCCTTCTTGTGCATGTTGGCCTTCTTCTTGTCGTCAGCATCACCACCCTCAGCACTCTTGAGGGGCTGCATCTCCATGGCGGCGGCCCCATCCTGCTGTTTGGCTGCAGGTGGCAGAGCACACATGTGTACACACAGACACGCACAGACACACAGACATGCACACACACAGGTCAGCTTGCAGGGTGGGGATGCTGGCCCTCACCCTGCCTGCCTGGGGGAGTGTGGTGAGATACCCACTTCCTTGCCTGGGCCCCTGCATGGCCGGCACAGAAACCCTGAGATGGGGGTGGTTCCAGCCAGAGACACTGCAACCAGGGCCACAGCCTGCCTGGGGCCTGGAATCCAGGACACAGCAGGGAGTGACAAGGCTTCACCCTGGACTCCCAACAGGAGTGGGCTGGAGGCTCCTCTGGGCCTTCTCCCAATGACCTGTTGGCTTTTCCCACATTCAAACAAGACACAGGCCTGGGCTTTACCCAGTGGTCCTTGGGCCATGTCATTGGGATATTAAGTAATCATTAGACAGCAGGGACAAAAAAAAGAGCCTTAAAGGTAAAAGAGAGTGTCCCCATCCATGGGCGCCAAGCCCTCTCCTCATTCAGATCAGGACTAACTAGTGGCCCAAAGTCCTATTCCTTATCCCCTAAGGATCTCAAAGAACCAGCTTCAAGTTTTCAGCTAAACGGGCAGCAGGGCTCAAAGGCTGGGGAGAAGCTGGCTTGCAGGTGTCCCATCCTCACCAGGTTGGCCTGGTGCCACGTGAATCAGCTATACCCCCCAAAGACGCCAGGCACCCATAGTTGCAGTTGCATCTGCTTCTGGCGTAGCCCTCAGAACCGCTGGGGAGGGGCCATAGGGACCACAGGACCCAGTTAATACAAAAGGGTTACCTTTGCTCTGGCTGGTGTCCACAGTGCCATCCTGCATTTTACCTACACGACAAAGAATTTTAACAGACAACAGAGAACAGACAACACACATCGGTCATCACAAAGATGCCACAGGGCCACGGACATTCATGTCACAGATGGAGGAAGGGCCAAGCCGACTCCATCCCTCCACACAGGATACTGTGGATGCCTCAGAGACAAGAACAAACCTGCCAGCGCGTTGGCTGCAGGTCTGTCTTGATTCTCTGGGGGCTTGGAGAGAGGTTTCTGTGGGAATTATTTTGGCCCTAGGCATCTTACAGATTAAAGGACAGCCTTGAGGGTAAAAGGGACCAGGGTTGGCTTGCAGGAAGCAGAAGAGAGGTCTCAGGTTCCCATGAGTAATTTGATTGGTGCCTTTTGTGGGCTGAGAGGAGGCAAAGGAAAATGAGAGAGAGAGAGAGAGAGAGAGAGAGAGAGAGAGAGAGAGAGAGAGAGAGAGAGGAGAATGGGACATAGGAATAGTTTGGTTAATGTGTTCCTTGGTTCCTTGCTCCAGGAGACATACTACTACTTTCTCCTTTTCCTTCTGAAGGGGGCGGGGGTGAAGCCACAGCATGGACAGCCCCATGCCCAGCCTGACAGAGAGTGACCCATGCAAAGGGTGAGCTCTGAGTTACCCCAAGTGTGTCCAGGGGTCTTGGAGGGAATATCCCAACTCCCAGCGGAAGCTGCCAACCTCCTTTCTGTTTGGATGTGTGCTCTTCATTCTGAGGTTGGCCAGCTCAGACAACATTAGATAGGAAAGGTCAGGTTGGTGGGCTCCCATGGGTGCCCCACCCCTGGCCCTGCATACCAGGGTCTGATGTTGTCTAGTGCTGGAGAAAGGTTGAGTCTAGAGCTTTCCACCCCTTAATCAGGGCTGCCTGGGAGGCCCTGTCCACAGCTAGAGTTGTAGGTTGTGTGGCAGGTGGGAGAAGCTGGAGGCTCCTAACTGGTGGCTGAGACACCTGCCTTCACCTGTTGGCACTGCAGAGAGCGAACCCTCTTCACCAGGCCTGCCACTAAGCTCACCCAGAACTTTGCATGCAGATCTCACCACCTCTGGAGGAGTCTGAGGAGGTCAGCTACTCCAGGACATTTGCTGCTAAGGTGAGTCCCACAGCTCACGTTCTAGAAGAACCCACCATGTGCCAGGCGCAAACATGACCTCCATGATGTCATCTAGTCCTCACCACATCCCTACAAGGACGTTCCTATATTTATGCCCACTTACAGATGAGAAACTGAGGCCTGCCTGAGTCTCAGTGGGTAAATGGAGAGCTGGCTCCAAAGTGTGTGCATGTTTCCACCCAGCCACCTCTTAGACCTCTGAGCCCAGGGGAGGGGCACTGAGGTAGCACTGGGGACTGGGCTTCTGAAGCCCCTGTTTGATACCAACTTGCTTTGTGGCGCTCCTCTCCCAGCCCCTGCTCCTACCTCTGTAAAATGGGGACTCAAGGTTCACCCCCAAGACCACCTAAACGCGCTTAGTAATAATCATTGGCCCATTCAGCCTTTGCAGTGTGCAGGTGTCAGTCTTCCTGACACCCTGCAAGGCAGGCTTTTCTCACTCATTTTACAGATGAGGAAACTAAGACCAAGGAAGGTTTAGAGGCAGTTCTCAAATAGTAGAGCATCTGGGGCTATGTTATTAGTTCCATCAACAGTGTCATCACCATCACCACACCCCATTGTAGGGACTTGGGATGGGGCAGTGGCCTTCCTAGACCTCAACCCCACTCTCTTTCTCTCCACTGCTTCTCACAGCAAAGGCTCCGTGGCCCATCTGGGATCAAAGGGAAAGGCCCCGTTGCTCTTTTGTAAAATTCTTTCTACCAGACTAAGAAACAAAATAGAAAAAGGCCTTTTTAGAGCAAAGAGAAATGAACTACAAACATTATTTTTATTTTAAAACATAACTATGAACTGGGCACCAGAGGGCTCCGCTTCAGTAGTTGCTTTCAGAGGGCACAAAGGGGCCTTTATTTGTATTGCATATTATCAGGGGCAATAGCCCGTGCCTGTGCCCATTAACCAAGCTAGCAATTTCCTCTTTTATTTCCACAGTGACCACGTGGCCAGAAAAATAATCAGCAATGCATATTTTTGAGGAAGGGAGTTGTATTCCGAGTAGGCTCCGGTGCAGATGGCCTGATTTCTCAGAAGCAAAGGACTTACTGCGGTTCTCCTCAGCTAAACGGGGGCTCACCTGGCCCTGAACTGTGGTGGGACAGCCAGCTCTGGCCCCATGTGGGACCTGGAGGATGGATTGTGTTTCAGGGGAGCTGGGATGTAGGACAGGACCCAAGATGAGGAACTGGGTGGAGACTAAGAGGCCCCTCTGCATCCGATGCCAGATGCAGTTTGGCCAAATGGGTCTGTTCTCTTCAAGCATCGCTGGGGACATGAGTGTGAAAAGCATGGAGAGGTGACCTGCCTCTCTGGGGAGACAGACCACTAATGAGGAGACCTGGGAGATGTCACTTGTCTGCCCAGTGTTTCCATTTCTTTCTCTGTGAAATGCAACAATTTCAACCAAGGTGAACTTATGAAAAGCACCGCAAAGTGCCCTGTAAACATCTGGAGTTAAGAGTGATATATTATTTATCACAATTATAAGAGATGTACTTTACAGTGATTGTATTTATAATCATAAAAATAAAATAATAATGGCAGTCATAAGCCTCCAAGATGAACGGAGCCCAACCATCTTTCAGTTGGGTGGCGTTTGGGAGAGTAAAGGCAGGGGGAATACTTCACTAAATTTGTTTTGTCTCTAATTTGTTTTCTATTCTGATTTGGCTCAGAGGAGGGAGGGAGAAGGGACAGTAATTCTTTCACTCACCACGCCTCAGTCCTGCACCTCTCAACTTCTATGCACTCTCTCCAAGCCTGGAGAGCTTGACAGGATGCAGATTTTCATTCAGTAGGTCTGGGGTGGGGCCTAAGATTATGCATTTCTAACAAGCTTCTAGGAAATGCCCAGCCGTCTGTTCCTCTGACAGCATTCTGAGCAATGGCTTAGAGCACTATTTCCCAAAGTATATTATGCAGGCATAATGATCCCACAGATAAAGTCAGAAAACATCCTCCAGCCAAATCAGACTGGGAGCCCCTGCATGGCTCTGTAATTCGCCACTACACTCCAGCATATTCAAAGCAGTGAGGAATCCTGCGGCCAGGGAAGACACAATTCTATCCAGAGGTTCTTAAACATCTTTGACCATAGGATCTTTTTCTTGGGGGAAAGACCTCTTACTATCCTTGTGAAACTTCAAGACACACACCATTGGCAAATTCTGGATCAAGCAGAGTAACACTCACTTTAGAGCCAGCCAGGCCTGGGTTCAAATCCCAGCTATGTTACTTTCTAGCTCTGTGACCTTGGGCTAGGGTTTTGATCACCTTGAGCCTCAGTTTCCTCATCTTTAAAGTGGGATAATAAACTCTGTATCATAGAATTGTCATGAGGATTAAATAAGATGGCAAGTATAACATGCTTACGAAGTGCCTAGGTGGAGGAGAAATGTCAGTTCCCCATCTTCCCTGCAGTTTTTCTTGGGGTACTTGGAGTTTTCTGCTACAGTTTGGAAGTGAAGGTGCCCTTTTTTAGGAACCGGCCAGCCCAGATGCAGGCTCATTGCCCTGGGGGAGGCAGGATGCCACATCCTGTTTCCTTCCCTCCTAGGCTTTGGGTTTACCTACGTTTCTCTCTGTCATCCCTCACCACCCCTCCCTGCCGAATGACACCTCCCACAACCCAAGCTGTCTTACATTCTCCTCCTGCTCCTGAAATAGACCCACACCCAAATTAGCCCTTCTTGGCAAGACGCTGCTTGCAGAAGTGTCTTGGCCAGCCCCTGACATCTATGAGGTGCTTCCATTTTTGGTCTGGGGCAGGATGAGGTGGGGCAAGATCTCCATGTTTTCCAGGAGTGGTGAGGAGTAAATGAAACAATGGATGAGAAACCCTCAGCCTGGTATGCAGCGATGCCGGGGCACTGGCTTCATGACAGAGCCCTAACAGCTCTCAGCAGTTCAGAAACAGCCTGGGTGACTATCTTGCTACCTAATTTGGGAACAGGGAACTTGTCTGAGTAACAGAAGCTTCTCCGCTCTGAAGATGAGAGGGAAGAGACATAAGAAATCTAAAGGCTTGGAGGCAAGTTCATGGAACTCCTCCCTGCCTGCGTGTGAGGAGGTAAGACGCAGACCAGCTACAGTGGCAGCTCCCTCCCCAAGGGGGCTAGTCAGAATGCAGAGACCCAGGACAAATGCTCCAGCACAGGCAACAGCAAGAAACACCAGTCCACATCTGAGGGACAGACCAGGCCGGAGCCCAAGCGAACCCCTTGCCCATTCGCTCCGTGAAAGAGAAGAGAAGAAATGTCTACTGGTGGCTCAGCCATGCTATGGGGTGGGGCCAAAGAGCTGAAACTTGGCCTGGGTCCCCCAGCCTCGAGGCAATTTTAAAGTCGAGGACTGGAGCCTTCGCTGTGGACCCAGTCGCCAGCTTCAGCCCAGGTCCTGACCCCAGGCTTTCTTCCCAAAGCAGGGGCCAGGAACATACTTAGGAGAGGGCCACACAGGTGGGACATTGCTTCTTGGGGCCAAATCTGAAGCCAAAGTCATGTTACTCTTCAGGAGCGGTCAAAGGCCCCACAGGAGCCAGTGCCATTTTGATGCCACAAGGGGGCGCGGAGCTGATTACTGGTGGTGGCTTCCCTCCTAAGCGCCTGACCCATGTGAGAGGACGACTGTCCCAGAGCTGTCCATGCACATCCAAGATCTGTGCGGTCCAGAATAGGGAGAGGCTAGCCCAAAGTTGGGGGTGGAGGAGAAGACACCCATCCACCCGAGACCGAGAGCTTGCCACGGGAGACGTACCATTGACTAGGCTGGCATTTGCACTATCTGCAGCATTTGAACCTGCCGCACCATCGGCCGCTGCGGGGGTGGGAGGGATGGAAAATGCAGTGTGTCACAATGGAGAAAAGCAACAATGCAGAACAGCAACAACAATAAAGACATGAACCAATTTGTGGCAAGTAACATGACTATAGTCTTCAAAGAAAATCTCCATTGGAGATCAAGAAACTCAAATCCAGGGGTTTGGGTGAAATGTTCCCATAGAGATGCCACAGAAGTCAGGGGGGGAAAAAACTCAGGCATGGAGGGTCATTGAAATAAAACATGGAAGATGATCAATGTGGTTAGGCGGGATGGCACTGTTCTGTGGTGAGGCCTAGACCGATGCACCCGGTTGGCCTAACCAATCAGGTATGGGTCCCCGTTAGAGAGAGTTCTATGAGGAGAGGGGTTCTGGCTTCCCATAAGAGGGGCCAATGGCACAGAGTCAATTCAAGACATTCAACAACTGGTGCACTGTGGCCCTGGCCATTCCGAATGGGTATTGCTATGATCACCATCTCTTGTTCTAGCAAAACATCCGTTGAGGGCAATGAGTTAGCAGGATTCATGCCCTTAACTCAGGTCACCACCCATGGCCACCTCCTCCTTCCTAATCAGCACTTCCCATTTAAAAAGCGACATAAAACATTCTGTGCACAAGACTGAGAAGGTCCTAGCGAGATTCCCTTAGTTTAGAAATTAAAAGATGATACAAGATGGTCAAATTCACTCGTGTTTTTTCTTGGGGTGGGGGAACAGGTTCTGTGGGAAGGAGAGGGAAGAGACTGCTGGGTGAAGTGGACAAACCGTGGGTAAGGGGAAACCAGCCAGGCTCTGTGGGGGATGTGCAGGGGAGCAGGGTTGTGAGGGTCCCATGATGATGGGGCCCTGAGTGTATGTGTGTGGGGCTGAGCCCAGGTAAAGACACTGGCGATGCCATTGGCATTGGCCCCCAGGATGGTGCACCAGAGGAGCAAGTAGGTAGAATGAGGTGCTGGCTTGTCCTGTGGGACTGCCATCACCTGGGGCACAGCTGAGGGTTTGGCAGTGCCCCTGCAGTCAGGGAGCCTCCTCCAGCTGTGTGCTGGTGTCTAGGGCCCAGGCTCAATGGTCAAAGGCTACTGCTATTTCTAAAAGCCCCATCTACCCTGAAGAGTGTCTTACTGTACCTGGTAGCTGAAGGCCATCCCCCTTCTTCACACCTGTGTGATGATTTTTGAGACATATTAATGAAGGAGAAGCACACAGCCTCATCTGTGTGTACACACACACACACACACACACACACACACACACACACGCCCAAGGTCATCTGGACATGGGGACTCACAGCTATCAGGTTTTAAGCAATGTCCCTGATGGAGATGATGGGACGGCAGTGCTGAGGGCCCCAGCCCCAGCTATGCTGCTCACGAGAATGTAAGGTGCAAGGCTGTCCCCATCTTTCTGCCATGTTGCCTCCACTTCTCACCTCTTCCCTCTACACTGATGCCCTCATTTCATTGGAGTGTAATTAATATTGAGTGAGGGACTCTGTTCTGTGCTTTGGGGCAGGAGAGGCCTGTCTTCCTACTGGCATTTTAAAAAACAAAGGTGTGGCCTGTAGGAGCTTCTGCCTCTAATCCAGGCCCCAGTGAGACCAAGGAAATAGTCAAAGGTTGCTGCATCCTGTCCAACTGCCCACATCTACTCAACTGCCTGTAACCTGGGGCACATAGCAAGCCGGCTCTTATGTCATTGCATGGACACTGTTCTGACATGCTCTGGGCCTCTTGGCCAGGACTTTGTTCTCAGTTTCAACTTCAGCTCTCCTCTTGCTCTCCAGATATGGATTTCACAGATCACACCTTAGTTCCATTATCCCTATTGGTGAGGAAGCCAGATTCTTAAGGGAACCCCACTAGGAAATGGGTTTCACCTTTGGGGTGAAATTTTTGATTGTGATCTACACTCTGTGCCTGGTTGACCTTTGAGAACTGAAGGTAGCAGGGTCATCCCTAAAACTCAAGGACAGGTCACCTACTATCATCTCTTTCTCTTGGACTTCAGAAGGTCTGGGTGTTGGGGACAAGATAAAAGACTAAAGATATGAGAGGGGGCTGTTCTGACCAAGTGTGAGTGTTGGGTGAAGAGCTGGCCATTCCAGGACTAGAGGCCTTGGCTCTTGTGTCTTCTGAGCATTCGTCTTCTCTTCTAAGAGGCAACTGTAGCCAAGACTGTTAGGCTGGTGCTCTGTGGCGGGCCCAGGGAAGAAGGACTATTATTTCCAGGGGAGGAGGAGCCAGAACCCAGTGAGGTGGAAGTGTCAAGGGCATCTGAGAGGGGCTCAAAGTAGGTGACTTGGAACCACCTTTCCTAGAAGCTTCTCTGCCCACATCTTAGGAAAATATTTGATGAGTGGGTTTGACACTCTGCTCATGAAGTTGAGAAAGGTGGAGAAATATGCCCAGGTGGGGATTTCTACTTGATAAATGGGGTGCAGATGGGACCAGGTTACGCTTAAGGCTGAAGACTCAATAAATGCACAGCACCCTTGGCCTGGCCCAGTGGTGGAGGAGGAGGGGCTTCTATGACATGACTGGACAAGACAGAGACTGGGACAAGACCCTGGAGATGGAACAGACAGAGCCCTCCTGGCATGAGCAGGGCTTTGAGGATGCAGGATGTGGCTGTTGGCACAGGGCATGGACATAAAAGGCACTCAATAACTATTTTGTGGAGTGAATGATTCAACAACAAAAAAGTGGCCTTAAGAACTCTTCTCCTGGTCCACAAGGGGGGTAGGCTTACCTTTCTTGTCTTTCTTCTCTTCCTCCTCACCTCCGGCCCCCAGCAAGGTAAAGATAATGCCAGTCTGAGAGTTCACACCCACAGCGGTCACCACCATCCGTCCAGAACCCTCCATCACATGGGTCCCTGGAGAAGGAGATGGAAGCCAAGTTACCATTGCACAGTCCAAGTACCCTCCCCAAAAGAGTGGAAGGAATTCCATCCAGGGTCTGCTGGCAATTTGCCTGTTGAGGTTCAAGGGTACTGCCCATAGTTAAGATTCAAACTATGAACCTTTTAGGATGATTTCACGTTGGGACAGCACTGTGATGGGCTTGGGGCTCAAACACTGCTATACCTCAGTTCTCAAGCCTCCAGACGACAGCTCGGCCTACTACTTGCCATGCTCTCTTGGCAATTCCCTCCTACCTCTATCTCTCTTTCTCTTCTCTCTCATCCTTATAGGCCAAGCAGAAACCACTCTCTTTTTTCCTTAATGATTTATCTATTATAGAATGAGATCTCATTTTGCTTAATTCTATAACTAGCAAAGAAATGCCAACTAACACCTTTATAGGACTGCTTAAAGTGGGCACCACCCTCACTTTAAAGATCTGGTGAAAGAATTCAGGGCTCTGTAAAATTGGGTGAAATAATGACATCTTTAGTTTTATAAACATCTAGCTGAAATGAAGCATTTCCCCCCTATTAGTAATGTAGGCAACAAATGCCCCAACACCATCACACATGTTACAAGAATCACAGGTTTTTTCATATCGCTTGGCAGCTGTTGCAGAATGATACTCACCCTTATTTTATAAATAAGGAAGTTATTAAGCTGACTGCTGATCTTGTTATGCAGTGTGCTAATGAAAAAGCCCATATATCACTATACCACACATTTTATTACTTTAACTACTTCAATCTTACTGTCTTTTGTTATCACCCAGTATATTTTGCTTTATGCACTTCAAAGTATTATTCCAAGTAGGGGTGGCACACGATGATACCGGACTTCCCCAGGAGTCTGTGGTGCAAGAAAAATTAAGAACCTCTTTCCTGGAATTTTAGATTTTTAAACTGGGTTTCAAAGGGCCCTGAATTTTTTTTTCAGGGGGCAGCAAGAACAGCTGTGGGGGTGGGGTGGGTGGGGTGAGAGGCCTTTGATCAGAGTGACTCCAATTTTATTTTTGGGGTTTCTGTGTCAGCTTTTGTTTGACTAGAGTGTCTTTTTTAAAAAAAAATATATATATTTCATTGATTTCTTACAGAGGGGAAGGGAGAAGGATAGAGAGTTAGAAAAATCGATGAGAGAGAGCCATCAATCAATTGCCTCCTGCACTGCCCCCCCCCCCCCACACTGGGGATGTGCCCACAACCAAGGTACATGCCCTTGACCAGAATTGAACCTGGGACCTTTCAGTCTATCTACTGAGCCAAATTGGTTTTGACTAGAGTGTCTTGTTGCTTGTGTAAGGCAGGCCCCTCCACAGTACAGGTCAGGGAACACTTGTCCAAGACCACTTAAGAAGTCTCCTGTAGAATGAGGATAAAATGCAAAGGTAACCCCCCTGCAAAAGTGGTAATTCTTTGTAATAAAATATTATTCAGTCTTAAAAGGGAAGGGAGTAATGACACATGCTACCACATGGATCAGCCTAGAGGACATAGCGGTAATTCTAAATGAAATAAGCCAGTCACAGAAAGACAAATACTGTTTGATTCCATTTACATGAGGCTCCTAGAGTAGTCAGATTCAGAGACAGAAAGTAGGATGCTGGTTACTGGGGGGCTGAGGGCTGGGGGTAACGGAATGGGGAGATAGTGTTTAATGGGTACAGTTTTAGTTTTACAAGATGAAAAAAGTTCTGGAGATGGATGGTGGTGATGGCTGCACAACAACATGAACACACCAGGAAGTCATGGAACTGTACACTTAAAAATGGTTAAAATGGTTAATTTTATGTTATGTGTATTTTATCACGATAAAAAGAATTGGAAAATATGGGGGAAAAGGGACATCACTGAAGCTGTGGCCTCACTGAGGAAACAAGGTGGCCCTAGTGAAGGTGCTGGGACCCAGTATAGGAAATAAACAGCAGCTACAACAGCTCAGGCCTGACATTGGAGGCTGCTGGCCCTTTATCCTCAGTGGCGTTGGAAACACATAGCTACTGGGTCCTGCAGCTTCCTTAGAACAGATGGGCCACTCACAAATAGAGAGTTGGCACCTGGGACTGACTGGGCCGGAGTGGTGTCACCTGCAGAGGCTCAGGACACACCTGGGGAGGCCCCCTCAGTCCTGCCAGTGACCATTCTCTTTAGTAAAGAATAGTTAGGTACTCCCCCCCACCCCCACCCCGAATTTTAATTTTTACCACTCTGGGTAGAAAGCTCTCTACAATGCAGCCCATATTTCTTTCTTCAATAGAGAAGTCAGAATGCAGTCCTGGCCAGAAGCAGTCTTGGGCCATCCTCAGGCTGCACAGTAAGAACTATGTTGAGTTTGCAAGACAGTGTTTGAGGGGCCCGATGGCCATGGATGCTGACCCCTGATACTAAACAGCCCTGATGACTTGCTTCTAAAATCCAGTTCTACTTTTTAGAGTTTTTCCTTCTTTCCTCTCAAGATTGATTGCCTCTTATCCCCATTATCAGGATAACTTGACTCTAACAGCCTTCTCCTTGTTTTCCAATTTGCTTCATATTTGAAGTCTAAATCAACAAACTCATTAGAATTGTATCTAAAATAAGTGTTAAGAAGTTCTGAATCAGGACTGGAAGTACTTCCCTTAAAGCAAGGAAATCTATTTCTACTTTCCAAGATGTTTCACCCACTCCTTCCCTTTCCTTCAAGATCTGAACAATCGTGAGATTGTGCGTGTATCTGTGTGAAAGTGCGCATATGTGTGCATGTGTGTGGTGTTCTAGCCTTGGCTTCCAGTATCACAGGATCTTAAAGTGCAGACACACTCCAGGAAGTTCCTTTAAGGCAGGGAAAAGTCAGTCACGAGGTTCCCAGGGGGTCATAAAACCTGGCAATCTGTAACAGAACCCAGATCCTCAGACGTGAGCTCTTCTGCTTGCTCCTTGCCCATTCCCAGGACAGAAGGACAGTGCTTTTTTTTTGGGCAGGGAACAGTGAGGACCACAGAATGAGCTTGGACACTGATTCTAGACCAATCATTCCAGGCCTGGTGTCTTTCTATCACAGGCAGACTCTGCAGCCTAACTGGCCCCTGAGGAACACAAACAGGAAGAACCAGGGCCCAGTAACGGGACCCTGGATAATATGATAACTTGGTACACTAGCTTGTGTGTGGGCTGTCAGGAGGGGCTGTTAAATACCAGCAGTGTTAGATAGATGAGGAAACTGAGGCCCAGAGAGATCATGTGGGGGTGGGGTCATTGTAGATCTTTAAAGGTGAAGAAAGAACACACTTCATGCATTCAGAGTGCAGACAGCACTGCGGGTACTAGCACTACCTTCTGGAGGACTCTTGCTCTGTGCAGGCAGTGTGCTAAGCCCCTCACAGCAGTCATTTCTGAGTCCTCACACTGACCCTCAGTTTATGGAGAAGGAAGCTGAGATTCAGGAAGAAATGGCTTGCCCAGAGTCACAGCTGGTGAGGGGCAGAGCCAGGCTTTGAACTTTCCTGTCTGAAGTGGATAGAGACCATCTTTGTCATCTGTCCATCCAGGAAACAAGGTCTTCACACCCTGATCTCAAACACATTTGTGAAAGTCTGTTCTGCCTGAGTGGCAATGGAAACACTGCTCCCCACCTCCCCAGCTCTAGGTGGGATGGAAAAAAACACAGGGGGCCAATTTCCACCCAAGATAATCAGACCCCAAAATCACCTAATCTAATCACTCCCATCATTGCAGGGAGCTGGTGGCTTTGCACTGGGAGGGAGGAAGGAGGAGGAAGCCAGGAAGTGACTTTTAGCCATAACTCAGCGGACAACATAAGGCACAGCCCCCTGCCCAGCCTCAGATGAGCCCCAGGTGGTTCTCCAGGCCCCAGCAGTAGATGGGACATCAACCTCTCCTTCGGGCCCTCCTTCGTTCTGTGCCCACTTTCAGCTCTGATCACTGTCCCTCAGCTCAGACACTCTCCAAAGTCCAAATTCAGTCAGCACTCCCTGTGTCAGACCCCAGCTTTCTTCTGGCCCTTGATCACTGATTCCTGCCCCTCGGTCTCTGCCTTGGGAGTGTGCATAGCTCACTGGGCTTTGTGTCTAGTCCCCCACCCCCTCTGCTCACACAGTTACTAAATGCCATTTCCCTATCTCTCATCCAAAACTTCCTCCTCAAGGGTCCTTCTCTTCTACCAGGATCTCTCTCCTACAAGGACTTCAGGGCCTGACTGCCCCTTCTGCCAGAGGAAGAATTGAATGTACCAGGTCATCCCCCCTACAATGTCACACCCCAGCTCCAGGATCCTCTACAGAGGGAAATGCTTAACCCCAAAGCCGGTGGCTGTAAGGGCAGAACCACAGGCATTCAAATAAAAGGTAAGATGACTAAATATCTCAAAGAAAAACTGTAGGGTCTTTGGGTAGGGACCAAGGTGAGAACCCCTTGATTATGGGGGCCCTGGCAGGGCCTTGCACCAAGACTTCACTGTCCATGGTCTCTTGGGCACCATCCTGTAGCTCTCACCTCATTGAAGCTCCCATGGAGCCCTTCAGGATATACAAGCATGGCGGCGGCGGTGGTGGTGGGGTGGGGTGGGGAGAGGATGAAGTGAGCCCTGGGCTAAGGAGTAGGGGACCTGGGAACTGGTCTGGTGTTTGCTTCTGATTTGCTGTGTGACCTGAGGCCAGCCTTGGTCACACAGGACCTCAGCTTTGTTCTCTGCAGAATGGGGAGGACTGGCTTAGGTCTCACCTCTAGCGATGACGTCTGGGTCCCCTGGTCCCTAGAGACAAGGGCCATCCCTGGCTGGGGTAGAGCAGCCTCCATTAAGAGGCTTTACCTTTTAAAAGTTTGGATTTCAGTTAAGATGGGGCCATCAGAGGCTTGTGTGGATAGATGACCAAACATGAAGCCTCCTGTCAGGCCACACGTTTCATCTGATGGACAGATATTGCGGAGTGTCAACTCTGTACTGGGCTCTGGGGCCGGAAGGGAGGGTCTCTTGT